TGTTGTGCCATGCGCTTGTGAAGTGGCTGTTTGGTCTCTCCAATGTAGAGGTCTGGGCATTCCTTGCTGCACTGTACAGCATACACCACATTGTTAAGTCTGTGTTTTGGCGTTTTGTCTTTCGGGTGAACCAGTTTGTTTCTAGTAGGATTCCAAAGTTGTCATCTTGTACCCTCTCAGAGTACCTCCTCTGTATGCTTGCAGAGACCCCTACAGTAGGGAAACATGCAAAACAGTGTCCAAACCTGTATTTTAGCTTTATTTATGTCTTACACAGCATCCCAACTCTCTAGCTAACTTAATAACTTTAGCTAAAGTGAATAGTTAGTCTAATTAATTAGTGCATTACTGGATCATCTCTGTTTGAAGTGATATAATATGATATACAAATATCACCGAAACAGCAAACTTTGTAAATAAGCAAACAACACTTCTCATTCTCTAAACGTTTGGCCACAGCTGTAGATTACACTATCAGTGCTTGTTCACTCTTGACAATAATTACATTTCAAAATTTACTTTGTGCATTTACAGGTAAACAATATCTAATATTTTATCTAAATGACTGCTTTGTCTTTGAAAAGGGTGAAGAGCCTGAGGCCAGTGACAGTCCAGTTCTACTCTAAGTACATCCTTACAGTGGCTCACAGGACAAGGCCACATTCCTGTCCTGCCAGAAGAGAAGAGAAACTTCAGAGTCTTCATGCAGTTCAACCACACCTGTCATATTCCATATGACAGGGGTCTCAAACTCCAGTCCTCAAGGGCCAGTGTCATGCAACTTTTCTATGCCCTCGAGGACTGGAGTTTGAGACCCCTGCCGTATGGTGTTCATGCTGTTTTCTACCCCACAGTTACAGCATGTCTGACTGCATGTTCAGCATATGCAAAAATATATGATGAGTTTAAGCATGTGATGACTAAGGCCTTCGATTATGGTGTTTGTCATCACATGTCACAGACATCTGGATGATCATTTGGAATAAACCAAAAAACTAAAAACTTGTTACTTCATCTTTTATCTTTATTATTATTATTGTTCTTATTTTACATTTTTCATTGTTAGGCATTAGGTTTATTTGTAGTAGTCCTTTCCAACTTCTTTCCCTCTTCCATGTTACTGTGTCAGCTTGTCAGCATCTAGGGTTTGGAAGTGGAACAGAAAGTAAGGAAATCCAAAGTGCCATTAAAACCAGGAGAGGTTCTTATATTTCAGAAGAAGGGATTAATTCAAAAGAAATGACCTCAATGCCATATTTTATTTAGGAACCCTAGAGAGCACTTTGCAAAATAACACATTCTTACAATTTCACCCTCAGATGAGCCAAGCTACGACTGTCAGGGAAGGTGATGTAGGTACAGAGCATATGAGAGTGGTTAAGTTAATGCCTCTTGTCTAGGTGAGAGGGAGGGATCAATGGCAAGGCGTAGAGATTCAGTATCTTCAGTCTTCAGTGGACACTCCATTTCTGGCACAAAACACCTGTAAAAGATGGTCGATTTAGGAGGTGACCCGACAACTTCAGCCTGTCAAACATAGTAATGGAGCAGTATGTTTTTTAAAAAAAAAAAATCGAATTAAGCATGCACTCAGTACCCTAAGAATTATTATGGTAGTTAAACACAGTGATAGTTGTATATCATATTATATCACTTCAAACAGAGGTGATCCAGTAATGCTGCACTAATGAATTAGACTAACTTTCACTTTAGCTAAAGTTATTAAGTTAGCTAAAGAGTTGGGATGCTGTGTAAGACATAAATAAAGCTAAAATACAAAGGTTTGGACACTGTTTTGCATGTTTCCCTACTAGAGGGGTCTCTGCAAGCATACAAAGGGGGTACTCTGAGAGGGTACAAGATGACAACTTTGGAATTCTACTAGAAACAGTCGATCATATTTGTTTGTCAAAGCTGAATTCAGGGCAAACTACGCTAAATTAGCGTTTTTAGCTAGGAGTTACAATAAGCATAAAAGTTACCTTACGGCTATCATTTGTTTATCCGCTGGTCATTCGACATGACGAATGACTTCTGAAGTCTTAATTCAGCTCAAGATGCTGTAGATTCCCATCAGTAACACTCCGCTAGTAAAACGTAGTTCTATTAATCTGCGCTTGAACCGGAACCGGATGTAAGTTCCAAAAAACTGAATTTTGGAACTGAAATTGAATTGTAGAACTGAAACTGAATGGTGACAAGTGAAACTGAAATTATTCGAGAGCTGAATTTTTAAAGGATAAAATGCAGTTTCAAAGCAAATCAATACATTTTCAAAATATAAAATTCAATTCAATTTAGTGATGATCATTTTCAAACCATAAATTAAATTTCAAATTAGACTAATTTAAATTCAGTTTTCAAAAGCATTTATTCAAGTTACAATTCAGATTCAATCTGAGCAATTCAAATTCAAATTTAACTTATTCAAATTCAGTTTCTGATGGCACAGATTTCTGCCAATAGTGAACACGTGAAGGTAACACATTGCGTTCAAGGATGTTCATATGAAGCTCAATTGAGTCAAAGTTGCAGCTTTTCACAATAAAAGCCCCACGAAGTTCTTATCCATCACTTCTTTTAAACTGAAAGTACAGAAACTGTTACTTCAGAGATTTTTTTATACAAGAAGGTAAAAGATTTTTACTATTTAAAAATCAAAGTAACAAAAGGATGAAAATAAATAAATGCTGGGCATGTACTTACACCTGGTTTAATACTGCAGGAAAGCGCAGCATCCACAGCCTCATCGAGCTCAGTGCGTCTGAACTCTGAGGTTCTGCTGGAGTCACAGTCAAACTTTGACAGACGTCAGAAATCTCTCAGATCAGGAAACAAATTACAGAAAAAAATTAAGACAAAAGAAAAAATACGGACGAGTTCAGCCTCTGAAACAAGAAGTGTTTCTTCTTTCATTCTGACGATGTCATCTCTGTGTATGAGCTGTTCACCTGTCCACAGCTGTCTGCCTACAGGGATATAAACAAAGTGTCACAGTTATCAGAGCCCAAACAAAAACACATTTAATCATTTATACCTGTGCAGTTTCTTTGGTTGCAGAGTGTCCTTCAGTGACAAAAACTGATCATGACAATAAATTAGTTCTGATGAATTTAGAGGAAACCCTGGTTGGAATTTGAAAGTTTGAGCCGAGTTTTACCCGTCAGTGTTGATGTTTCACCTCCTCATCTTCAGGAGGAAGCGCTGAGCACTCTGCACCGTATTCTGAAACAAAGAAAAACCACAATAGGAACTGATTAACCGTCAGACCTGCCAACACTCCCAATCTTCCGATTTTAAGACCACCCCCATTTTCACCCCATTTCCCCATTTTCAGAGGAGACATAGGTCTCCTCTGAAACTCCTCAGATTTGTGTGTTTGTTTCCCAAGTTGCTGCTTACATTTTCAACTGAGCCAGATCAGCCGATATGCAGACAATTTTCTGTTGTACCTATTAAATCTTAGACCATCAGGCTCCATGTTTACTACTGTTTTCACTTTGTTCTGCACATATAGCATACAGTCAGGTCCATATATATTTGGCCACTGACACAAAAAAGATTTTTTTTTTTACCTGTTTACTGAAACATATTCCAATTATAGTTATATGACGGACATGGACATAATGTGGATACCCTCAGCTTTCATTTGAGCGTATCCACATTCAAATTGGATGATGGGTTTAGGAGTATCAGCTCCTCAACATGTAAGGTACAATGACTGGTTTTGTTATCATTTTTTTTTGTTAAGTACTACTTATGTATTGCTTTGTTGCTGATAATAGTTCAGAGAAAAACACAAACAGCTCTCTGTGACTGTGTCAACTTTAAATAACAGCACATAGTTTTAGTTAAAGAATTACTTTTGTGTACATTTCAAAGAACATTTTTGCTTTTGAAGTTGAATGACGTGATTTGATTTTTTTTATTTTTTTATTTTAAAAACACATGTGTTTTTAAAATAAAAAGTAATTGGACAGTTGACTAAAAGGCTATTTCATGGGAAGGTGTGGGCAACTCCTTCATGTCATTATCAATTAAGCAGATAAAAGACCTGGAGTTTATTTGAGGTGCGGTGCTTGCATTTGGAAGATTTTGCTTGAGCAGAAAACATGCAGTCAAAGGAGCTCTCCATACACGTGAAACAAGCCATCTTTAAGTTGTGAAAACAGAATAAAAACATTAGAGAATACAATATTAGGAGTGGCAAAATCTACAGTTTTGGTACATGCCGAGAAAGAAAAAAAGCACTGGTGAACAATGCAAAAAGACCTGGACATCCACGGAAGACAACAGTGGTGGATGATTACAGAATTATTGAAGAGAAACCCCTTCACAACAGCCAACCACGTGAATAACACTCTCCAGGAGGTAAAAGTATGGATATCCAGGTCTACCATAAAGAGAAGACTGCATGAAAGTAAATACAGAGAGTTCAGTGCAGGGTGCAAGCGACTTGTAAGCCTCATGAATAGAAAGGTTAAATTGGACTTTGCTGAAAAACATCTAAAAAAGTCAGCACAGTTCAGGAAAAACATTCTTTGGACAGATGAGTTTAAGAAAAAGGTGGGGAGAAGGCGCCGAACAGCTCATGATCCAAAGCATACCACATCATTTTGCACAATTTCCTCTTGTAAAAGTCATATTTGTATATATTGGACCTATTTCTTATATTTTGTTCTAAAATATTGTATTATTTAATTTAGTTCAGCCTGTTACTGTTATTGTCTTGAAGTGGCTGCAACCCACATAATTTCCTTAGGGATGATTAAACTATTCTGATTCTGATTAAAACACAATGGAGGCAGTGTGATGGCTGCCAGTGGCACTGGGACACTAGTGTTTATTGATGATATGACACAGGACTGAAGCAGCTAAATGATTTCTGAGGTGTTCAGAGACAAACTAGCTGTGTCCCAAAATGTCGGCTGCATCCTCCGGAGGCCGCAATTGAAGGCCGATTACATCACAGCCAGGCGACGAACGCTGTCCCAATTTGTCGACTCCTTCAAATGTGGCCGACAAATGCGTCCTTCATTTCCCCGAATTTGAAGGATGGGTCGGGTGTGTCCTTCGTTGCCCACCATATCCCAGAATTCATAGCGCGGTCCAGCCAAATTTCAGCTGCCAACAATGGCGGCCGCTACTAAGTTTTAAAATTACTCTTATTAATCTTTCTGGGCCACAAAATAAACTTTTAACATATTTTCAGGCGAGAAAGTAGCTGTGTAAATTACAAATATCTGCTTGGTTTATCAAGACATCGCATATTTGCAAAAGTGTGCCGACGTTTTTGGAGACATCTGCTACCCACCCGCTCGATAGCAAGCACGGGGGTTCAATGGTCACTCCAGCCGGCGAGAGCAGCAGATTCCCGGTTTCATCGTTTTCAGACCCCCGCTCTTTCGCTACTCAGGTTAAACATGATATATAATTCACTCGGATAACATAAAAATGTAATTGTTTGCCCTTTTTCTGTGTTTTATTTGTTCTGGAGTAAATCGGTTTGGCTGAGATCAAAGTATTAGATTAAATAAAACTTTATTAATCCATTGGGTGGGTTCCTCTGGGATTTTTACACAGCTGAATAAATGTTAAACAGAAAACTGATTAAACAGAGGTGTGAGACGGTTGAGAATTTACGCCCGTGTCCTGTTATATTTTAGATAGCAAGGAGCAGACGGCCAAGTTTATTAAACTCCACCAAGACAGCGGTGACACAAATCTGAAGGCTAGACCGTCCCACTTCCGCACTTCCGGCCTTCTCGATCTTCGAAGGACCCGGTCCACGTAGACCGCGAAGGCCGGGTCCTCCGAAGGATGCAGCCGATGTTTTGGGACACAGCTATAGCATGTTCTGACTGTCTGCTCAAATCCAGCTAAATGAAATCCAGTTGATTGGACAGTGTTTCATAATACAGATGGACAATAACCCAAAAATACAGTCAAAGCAAACCCAGGAGTTTATTAAAGCAAAGTGGAATATTCATGAAATTCATGAACTACAGATCAGTTAGCTGATCTTAACCCAACTGAGCATTTCACTTCATGATGTCCATGACTTCAGGTTGTCAGTGCCAGCAAAGAGTTTTTTAACCAAGTTAGAAATGAATATTTTATTTTCACTTATTTAATTTGTCAGATTACACCTGAGCCCCTGAAATGAAGGAATTGTGTTAAAAAATATTTATCACCTTTTTATGCAATCTTTTTGTTCAACCCAACTTAAAGCTGAAAGTCTACACTTCAACTGGATCTGACTTGTTTCCTTTAAAAATAATTGTGGTAATGTACAGAACCACAATTAGAAAAAAAAAGTCTCTGTCCAAATATTTATGGACCTAACTGTATTTAATAAAATGTTTAGAGGTTTCAAACACTCTGTCCACTTTATTTTAGCCGTTCTGATAAACATCTGAATTCTTCACATGTTAAAAAGCTGTGTCTGATTGGATGACAGAGCTCTTATGAGGAGATCATTTAACCTGTTTTAAGTTTTTGTCATTCATGCATCTAAAATGATTTGATTTTATTTGAATTTGATAAAAAATAAAAGTACGTAATGCTCAAAAGTAAAAGAGTAAAATCTGATGACATTGAAAAGTAAAAAAAAACCCCAAACATAAATAAATAAAATAAAATAAAATAAATACCTCCATGAGCATGGCCACCGTCATTGGCCCCACCCCTCCTGGAACAGGTGTGATGTATCCTGCTCTCTGACTGGCGGAGGAGTAGTGAACGTCTCCAACCACTCGTTTACCACTGGGCCTTGTGTCATCTGTAGCAGGGGTCAAAGGTCACAGAGTGAATCATTTTAAAGAATTACAGTTTTAAAGCTCAGAGCCAAACTTGGTCATTGGTTTATATTTTCCACTGCAGATCATTTTAGGATTGATTCACTCGATTGTTTCCACCCAGCTGGGGTTCCTGTGGAAACAATCCTACTTCTTATTGGTTAAAAGAAAAGAAAAAAACAAGCTGCTGGCTGGAAAAAGGAAGTCAATAAGTGTAAGGGGATGCTGATACCGGGGACATGGTTAATTCCACAGTCAATGACCACGGCACCCTCCTTCACCCACTCTCCTCTCACCATCTCTGCTCTGCCGGCCCCCACCACTAGGATATCAGCCCGGCCCACCTGCAGACGCAAGAAGTGTTTGAATGATGGAGGCAATCTGTTCTGTTTGATTTTAAAGGTGATTTTGTTTGAATTTTAACTTTATAATTTAGCTTTTTAGGTTAGCTTTTATTCATTTCATGATTTATTTCGTGTCTGCATGTTGTTACCTGCTCAGGTAGGTCAGGTGTCTTTGAGTGGCAGGTGGTCACAGTGGCGTGGTTCCACAGCAGCAGGTCGTGCATCGGAGCGCCAACGATTTTACTGCGACCAATAACCACCGCGTGCTTCCCCGCCACAAACACGCCTGCACAGTTACAGGAAGTCACAGGCAAAGGTGTTTACTGGAACTGTCAGTGATGATGTTTGTATGTCTGATGAACAACAAACACATGATTTCAGATTTACAATCATGTGGTTACAATCATGTGTCTGCAGCAGGTCTTTACACCTAACCACCGTTTATCCCCAGGAGACGCATCCGCCGCTTTCAACGAATGACATAATGTTCACAGTGTTCCCAATGTTCTGAATGTTCTCGGTGTTGCCAATAGTCCCAGCTTTCTGAATGTTCTCAGAATTCCCAATGTTCCCAGTGTTTCTAGTGTGCTGAATGTTCTCAGTATTCCCAATGTTCCCAGTTTTCTGAATGTTCTCAGAATTCCCAATGTTCCCACTGTTCTAAATGTTCTCAGTGTTCCCAGCAGTCTGAGAATTCTCAGAATTCCCAATGTTCCCAGTGTTCCCAGTGTGCTGCTACCAGTCTGTCTGATGAGCTCCATGCAGCCGTTGGGGGTGCAGGGGATGAAGCAGTCGTTCAGATCTCCTCGAGACAATTTACCTGCATTAATGCAGCTCAGCCTGCACACACACACACACACACACACACACACAGTGTTAGTGATGAGTATTTGGGAGTATTTGGTGATGAACACAGGAAGTGATGCGCTCACTGACCCATCTACGTCTTTTTGCGAGGACACGGCGTTGGTGACGAGCTCAGTGTCAATGCAGTTTGCGGAGTCCAATGGCAGCTGCACGATCAGACCGTGTACGCACGCGTTCTCGTTCACGGACATGATGCTTTGCAGCACCTGCAGGGCGACAGAAAACAAGAACCAATCAGACCTTCGATCACATCACGGAGAAAAGATGATGATGATGAAGATGATGCATGAAGACCTCGTCCTGCGTGGTTGTGTTTGGCAGCCGGATATGTTTGGCTTCAATTCCAACCTGCAGGAAACAAAGTGAAGCTGCATCAGCCCACTGTGTGTGTGTGTGTGTGCATGTGTGTGTACTTGTATAGACATCTTTGTTAGGACCAGAAGGACCAGAGGTTATGGTTAGGTTGAGGCTGAGGTTTAAGCTGAGGGTTAAGGTAAGTGTTACGGCCCCTGGCCTTGGAAGAAGTGAGCCAGACTTCCTTCAAGCAAATTTGAGTGTGACAACACACTCAGACAATTGGCTGCCTGGGAACCTGTGGCTTGCACCTCCAGGGAAAGTCTATTGGACCAGCTGAGGGATGCTAGACCAATCAGTGACTGATTGGGCACACGCATCTTTAAAAGGCTGAAGAACATTCATTCTGGGTCTGCTGCTTTCAACTGAGTGTGCAGTCTGCGTGCTTCTGTCTGGTAGCCTTGTTTGTAAATCCCTGTCTCGACTGAGATTCTCTTGACTAATGTTAGTTGTGCTACAGCCCATGGGGCTAATTTTGATTTCTACTGGTTGAAGCCTTAAGCGAGGAAGTTGTTTTTGTATCGGTTGTTTGTTTGTAGTAAATGCTGCTATTATTTTTCAGTTCTCTGAGTTTTTTTGTAATAAAACGTTTTCGACTCCGATCTTCCCCGTGAGAATCTCATTTATGTTACCTTACCTCCCTTAACCCCTAGCAGAGATGGTTCGTAACAGTTAGGGTAAGCAGCTAAGGAAAACATTGTCAATTAGATGTCTTTACTAAGATAGGAAAACGAGTGTGTGTATGTTGGTCACCTCAGCTGCAGCCTTCAGTTTGGTGCTGATGTACAGGTTAGAGTCATCTCTGTCTCCCACCTGTGACACACACAGACAGTTAAAAATAGCCATCCTGCAGGATCCTGCATCCTTCTCATTCTCTGACGTGTTTGTTTCCTCCTGGAGGATCCTGAGCTGCTCCCGACTTATTTGCGGCTTTTTATTTCTACATCATTTGTGTTTTTAATTTTACTGACAGAACTTCTTTGATTTTTGGTCGCTCGTTTTTGTCCCCTTGGGTTAAACTGCTGTAAGATTTTGGAGGTTTGTCCCATTTTTCACAAACAGACTGATAATCATGGCCATGCACTCAGCACTCACAGGTGTTTCTAATGTTCTGTCATTTATATCATTGAGGTGCACACGTCACCTGGTCACTGCTCTGCCGTAAACAGAAATGAGATGGGAGGCAGCCACATGTTTGTGTGTTTGTGTGAGAGGACCAGGAGCTCCAGCCTGAGCTGGGAGTGGAGGTCAAAGTTCAGTTCACTGGTTTCAACTGGTCACAAACACTAAAACAAAGCTGCTTTTTGTTGCCAGGTGACAACAGGTGTGCACAGGTAAACTGCAGAGAGCAGCCCCGGGAAAAGGTCTAGTAAAGTCTAGTCTGAGTTATGATGGCGGAGCTCAGAGAACGACCTGATCAGGTCACTGTGAGGTTGTTAGAAAAAAAATCGGTTTGAAGTATCGCTCCATCCAGAAGGGGGCGCTTCAGTCTCTCACCTGCAGGACCACCAGGCCCGGTCTGAACCCGGAGAACTGATTCGCCATCTTCTCCACCTCCTTCTTCAGTCTCTCCCTCACTATTCTGCACACACAGCCGCAGGGCTGGGGTCAAAGGTCAGACAGTTAATGGACTCAGAAGCCGTTCTAGTGGGTTGAGACTTACTTGGACGTTTTGTTCCCGGAGATGACAGTTGCTATGGAGCGCAGGCTTTGTTGGTAACCGGTGGCCCTGACACAGAGCGAGTGGGCGGCCAAGGACAACATGACTAAAAGAGAGAGCAAGAGAGAGAAAGAGCTTCAGCTGACTGAGGATAATCAATAATATGGATGGAAAAATCTGGAAACATCTGGAAATGTGAGGGGTGATAGATGACGATAGCACTCAGAAAGGCCGACGACACAAAACAACCCAAAAGTGAAAAGAACAAACTTAAAGTCAAACAAAATGCCAGCAGGGGCCTCAGACGGACCCAAAGCAAGAGAAAGCTCTGATATCACGAGAGGCAGGAGCTCCACGGTGGACAGGGTTAATAACTGCAGCCCTTTCCCACAAACTGTGAGCGTGTTTAACTGTTTCCCTTCATCTTCGTCCTCATCATCATCAGCACAAAGTAAGCAGAGACTGAAAAAGCAGAGATACACAGAGTGACAGTCTCTGAATCTGTGCTGGCTTCAAAATGAAGAACCTTTACTCTTTCTGAACTTTAATGAAGTATAAAAAGCTTCATAAAAGGTTTGGAGGGTTGTTTAAAGTTCACCGTCAGCACTCGCAGCTGCTTTTCTAACCTTACAGTGAAGCTCACATGTTAATGATTACAGCCGCTCTGCAGAGAAGAATTGAACCGAGACTTGTGCAGCTTCACACAAACACACACTCCTCTACAGCGCTGCCACGTTCACCTCCAGCAGCTTGAAGTTTTCCAAGATTCCCAAAACGTCAGGAAACTTTATGCGACTTCAAGAAAGCTGCTGAAAGCTGCACAAGCACAAAGAGAAGCTGAAAGAGCAGCAGCTTCATACCTGAGAGGCAGAGCAGAGGCAGTGACAAACAGCTGCAGCAGATGTTTCCGTCTCTGTGGAGCTTCTGTCAAAGTAAGGAAGCCCAGCAGTGACAAAAATACTCTGTGAGGAGGGAGAGAGGCAGCCACAGCGTCTGACAGGAGTTAATTATTGACTGAACGGGTATCGCTTATTGATCGATCAGACTGAGCTGGGTATGTGGACAGCTGCACACTTCTCCTTATCTCACCTCGGTCTACAGGAGCTATGGTCACGTAGGTCTTTACTTACCTGCGCTGAGTTACCTGTACCTCTGTCCACATGCTCAGGTTGCACACTAGCTCAACTCGACTTTCTGAGCAGGAGTCCACTGATCGTGTGGTGTGTGGGTCACAGTCAGGAGCAAAGCCCAAATCTCACACGTTGTAAAGTCTTTGTGCTTTTAAACACAAATAAAAAGTCATCTGATCATTGTTCCATTTCCTGAGCTGAGTATAACATGAGATTAACTAAAAGGTAACAGAGCTTTTATTTTGGTATAGTCCTATGACAAAAAGGAAATAGTTATATAAGTCAATGAATTTGAGTAATCAGAAAAAATAAAAGAAATACGATCTCTCCTTCCTGCCCACACTGAGACCAGAGTGACTGTTAACTTTATTCATGTTATTTTATTTACTATAAGTATTTGATCACAGAAACATTCCTGCTGGCCATACACTTACAGCTGTGGTTTAACAGTTCACTTCCAATATTTTAACACAACTACACGTTTCACATGTATTACTAAAATATAATAACAGTGGTAATGATAATAGTAACTTTTTTGTTCCAGCTCCACAGATGCGAGCTGTATTTGTTCCTCTGTTACAAAAACCCAAAATAAAAACATTTCAGTCACTCAGAATTTCTGACACTATCATGTAGGTAACCTGAGCCTGTGTGAGTGTGTTTGTGTGAGAATGTGTCTGTGTATGTATGAGGTAATACTGCTTAGAACTGAATCAAACCGGCCAGGAGAACCAGATTGATACTGGGATGGTGGACCAAAGGTCAAACCGCAGGAACCACGAGGGACAGCCCACACTGCTCTCAGCCAATTACATGGCAGCCTGTCAGGGAGGAGGGAGGGAGCCACTCTGCCGCATTTTCCGGCATTATTCTGACGCTGGGCTGCTCAGAGGACATGGTGCTGCGGTGCTTCCTGGGAAATGTAGTATAAAAAGAAAAGTGAAGAAAGGCTCACAGAGCTGAGAGACCTCACCTGCAGATTCTGCTTTCAGGGCCAAAGATCAAATCCAAAACACAACCCATCAAAAAAACCTTAATATACGCAGGCGTCAGTGTTTCTGTTGAGCTGTCAGAGCCGGACCTTTAAATTTATCTGCACCAAAACACAAAAAGACACAAGAAGACACAAGAAGAGACAAAAAGACAGAAGAGGACACAACACACTGGATGAATTTATCAGTTTTAAAAGTCGTGAAATTGACAATAAGTTGCAAAGATTACAAATCTCCATGACAACAAACAACAACCTGAGCTTCACACCATCACATGATGTCAGCAGGCCTGGACTGAGGAAAAAGGCCAGGTGGATCACCACGACCAGTCAAAAAAAAAAAGATGTGCAGCAGCTTGAATGATGGATTCAGGGTCACCTGATTCAGCATTAACTATATGCTTTAGCAAAAAGGAAAGTGTGAAGCCTCCACTGTGTGTCTGTCTCCAGAATCCAAACTGGAAGCTGGTTTCACAGAAGAGGGACCTGAAACTGAAGGTGTTTCTGAAAGTGCTGTAGTAAAGTTAAAAAGGATATAATTGATCCACTGTTATCTTCTGCCCACACGGAGCAGCTGCCTGAAATACTCTCTGCAGAAGTCGATTATCTTGTTAATAATTTTACTTCTTCACTGTGAATGACTCTGGATGCTGTAGCTGCTGTGAAAAATAAATCTACATACAAACTGAGGTTATTGTACTCGGCCCTGAACATCTTAAAAGTATGGTATCTAAGCAGATTCTTACTCTGGATGGCATTACCTTGGCTTGCAGTAACACTGTGAGGAACCTTGGAGTCACCTTATGAGGTGACTCCCTAATATGTGTTTTTAGAAGTATCACAGTTTATTTCTAAAGGGCTACATGTTGTTTGTGGTATTCTTGTCAAACACCTCAGAGTAAATCATATCACAGAATATGATGAGCTTATATTGAGGCGAACTGAAGAGGAGGAGAGGGACAGGTGCTGCTAGGGCGAGACAGACATCTCTCACGGAGTCCTTTAGTGCTGCAGGCAGGAAACGTTTTCAAATAGCGCACAACTTCAAGTTTTTTTTATATTTCTATATGATAATTCTGCATTATTAAGCAATAAGAACAAGTAAGTCTGATGTCCTTTAATCAGTGTTGGGTAAGTTACTTTAAATTAGTAACTTAGTTACATTACTAGTTACTTCTATCAAAAGTA